ACAGTCATGCAACCGTGGATATGTATGCAGAGTACATTTCAATATGGGATAGCTTCTCGTTTGTATTTCATAAGAATTTGTTTGACAGCTTCTTACAGTGTGCGACATTAGTGTTATTCTAATCATCTCTAAATTGTTCCCTTTTAAAATAGTTCCACCTCGTTCACTCCACGCTAACAATTGCGGTTAAAACTGTTAACTAACCTTCGGAAATAGCGTTGATGAAGTCATGTTATGCAAGTCATATTAGGTTATACTATGGCTAGATGATGTCCCATTTGTGTTCTTGTGTACTCGTGTTTATTTTTAAGATTACATAAGGTCTTGAACATATATATTCAAGAAAGACGTTTTGATTGCTAACACAAAAAGAAGAGAATGCCTCATATCGAGAATATTTAACATCGAAAAACATAAAGAAAAAAATGAATTATTTTTAATAATATGTGGAAATCTCCACCATTTGCCTGATGACGGTCGCGAGACCGGAAACACGTGTAGCAAAATCATAGAAAATAAAGCATAATATTTTTTTTAAATCCACATTACAACCAAAAACGTTTACGGTTTCTCTCTTCTTTTTAATATTTTTTTTTTCTCTCGTTGGAACTAATATAACCTCTTCCTTTATATATATATATATATATATATATATATATATATATATATATATATAAAAGTGAGCAGTGAAGTCAACAGTCAGAGGCGACAGGCTGTTTCATGCTAGACTCAATCGCCATGCGGCCTGACGATTGCGTCTAGTATGAAACAGCCTGTCGCTTCTGAGTGTTGACTTCTATGTTCACTTTTATATTTATATGTACATACGCTCTGTCTCTTATATTGAGCACTTTATCCCATAAATAAACCACACCTTAAAATTATATATTTCTTCATATATATATATATATATATATATATATATATATATATATATATGCCTTCTATAATATGTTTTGTTACTTTAGAACCTGTAGCTTAATAAAAATTGAAATAATATCCCAATTTTTCTACGGACCATCAAAAATTTTACACGGACCACCAATGATCTGTGGA